CTCTATCCATAGGTTACGATCATCCCGAGGTCCCCAGTCAGGGAGCCCAACAGGACCTATGTGACCCAGCCTCCTGGTTAGGGTTTTCATGCCCTCGTGCCAGGTCTTAGCTTGACTAACCTTGGCTTTTTTCCACTCGGTGTCTGCTTCGGTGAACGTCGCTCGCCGCGGCAAACTATCTGGTGACATGCGTAATACATGCCCCAACCAACGTAATCTATGGAAGTCGACCACTTGCTCCAGTTGGTGACAGTCTATCTTTATCCTGTTTTCTTAATGGCCAAGTTTCCGCACCGTCGAGCAGCCCTTGCCGAAGTGCCACGGCATACGCTCGACCCTTCAAAGACAGCCGGACGTCGCGGCAGCGCCACAGATGTCTCAAGTTGCAAATGCCAACAGAGCCTTCTGTATGCGAGCTGACATTTCATTCGTGATGCGTCCTGGCGGGTGACATGTAGCTTCCCAAATTAAAATAATGATCCACTTGCACTATGACTTCCCCAGTTACAGTGAGGCTGGGTGCTGGACCAACCCAGCTCTGTAGTAACATTTTACACTTTGAAGGTGAGAAACGCATACCAAACATAGTTCTGATTGCCTAAACATCGTTGTACAAGCAGATGACGTAGAGACGAAGCATGAGGAATCCGCAAAGCGGTTAGGTAGCGTAGGTGTCTCGTCTTCCGGACTGGGGTCCAAAAGACTCCGCAACTGAAGGGTTGGAGACACTGAAGGTTATGGTACCAAACCAACAGCAGTGGCGATCTTGCTGTCACTTGTTCTCTGACCAGAACGCTTGAAGTAGTGTGTATGCACAGTTGGATTGCGTGCTCTGTATGTTGACCATAGAGGTTCGCTTTATTTTCCAGTCCGTAAGAATAAGCCCATTCTCTATTTTCCTTACACATTATCACTAACCTTGTATGCAATATGAGTATGGCAACGATCAGTGAAGTTCGCTTCACTGTATTACGCTGTGCAATGATGATAATGATGATTTGCGTGCATGTTCGGTTGGTCCTCAGGAGCGCAGAGTATGTCGGCAACTGTACCTGTCCTGTTGTTTTCCAAACCAGTGTTTGGTGAAATAGGTTGTTGTCTGTAATATAGTTATCTATTGTTGCGTGTAAGAACCCACTAGGAGAATTGTGGAAGAAAAAGAGACAAGAAAAGGAAAGGGATTTTTTTAATCGGAATAGAAATGAATCACGTGTTAGCAATCACAATCGCTATTGCCTGCCGCGGTTCGTTTGAGTGATCCAAGCCTTCGAGATAAAACCAGCCAAGTCGCTTCAGGACAACGAACCACAAACCAATAGCGTCGATCAAGCAGAATCCAATCACGGTTGATTTCTTTCATTGAACTGAACCGCTATTTGTTCGTCTACTTTCCTGTCTCTCGGTGACAGAAGACTTTGGTGTATGCCTATCAATAAAATTCCGTGTCTCGCTTGTGATTCTATCACTCCGGAGTATTAAATTTACTGACAAGGAGACACCGAAAGACGGTCACAGATTTAGCAGTTCGTTTATGGGAGGAAATCAATAGCATTAAGTGATATGTACTAAGAAATCTCACTGGCTTAATAGATCTGAGCCAATCATTTGCTGTGTTCTCTCAATTTAATTCCCGTGTGAGCTATGATTAATGGAACGATCTGACTAACATCAGCCACACTTAAAAACTGCTAATATAATGCACCAAATCTTGACGCTTTCTAGGTGATCTTTGATTTTTTTCTTGCACTTCGGTAAATGTTTAGGCTCCACAAATTACAAGAATTCATGTTGTTCGAAAAATGAGCGCAACGCCAATTCCATAGGACTATAGTTACACGTAGTGTCCAGCGGAAAACTGGGAATGGTAACGACATCAGAGTACACTGCCAGGAAATAAAGTTTCCTTGTAACAAGCAAAAAATTACACTGAACCAGGAGATGGTGTATGATAAAGAGATACATCTTTGTAGTTTATTTCCGAACGAATCCCGTAACTCACAAACAAACAAGTTACTACTAGGTAAATCAAAAAATGTTTTGGGTGTGACAGATGTGCATTGAAGTACTGTGGCGCATGAACTGCATCATACAGTTGCTATGTGTATGGTGGACATTATGTTCCCCTCAAAACACCATTCAATTATACACTATCTACTTATAGGTAGTATGTTGAAAGAAATCAAAAGCATGATAAACAGTTATGACCATAAAAATGGTGATAATAGCAATTATAGTATTGAAAATGATAAATTGATAAAATCATAACAATAATAATCTAAAGGACGTCGAAGTTCAAGGGTAAAATATTAACCAGTTACATTTATTACATGTACATGTTCCATAATGGTTAAAATGTCGTCTGGAAAAGTTTGATAAGAAAAATTGAACCGCCAACTTTCCTGGTCTTCATTAAAATGTCACAGATTGAGGTGCTTCTTGTGTTTCTAGCATAGCAGAATACGATGATCTCATTTCCGCTGATACTCCTGCACGCGCATCAAATTCGTTTGTATAATTGTGGGGAATTTCTACAACGCTACTGCCAAAATTTTTACTACCGTCACCTGGGTATCTCTGAACTGGTTCGTTTTTTACGACACCTAGGGACTGTAAAGAGGGTCACTTAGTGGATACTCAAGAGAAACACAGATAGCGCCCATTCTGTGTGAACATATGCATACGCATATATATATATCATATGTAAGTATATGAATGAACTGACAAAAGATTACCGGATATGCATGCCTGACGAGCGGCAAGAACCGCAAAACCGGTCGTGTGCTTCCAGGGAAATTTTTCCAGTCAGTCACATACTACTTATAATGATGTACTCATTTGTATAATATGAAACCTGGAATTTTGTTGATTATGAGACGCGAATGAATATTTTGGTCAGTGTTTCTACCAAACGGGATTTGCATTTGATGGTTAACAATTGAAAATTCCAGACTGTTTAACTTGACTAAAGTTGTAACATTTAAATCCCAGAAGACGTATAAGCTTGAAATAGATAGATAAATAAGTGATTTAAGAAATCTTATTGCAGCTGCAACGAACCATGCATTGGTAGAACCGACCGATCACTGCGAACTACAGTGACCGAACACACCCGAAAACGTGCGTGAATCAGTGCCTAAACCTACGCCACAGGTTCTGACTGTATCACATAGACCGACTTCGTTCATCACACACCACTTGATTGAAAGCGGTCACAAGGTAGACCTGGCGAAGGCGTTCTCGGTTTTGTTACGTCAGAGCGACGAACACTGTCTAAAGATATTCGAGGCATTATCGATCGATCACAACAAACTCACGTTGTGTCTAAAAGCGTATGACCTTTGCCCTTGACCTTTTCTGGCTGTAACCAATCCTGTGCATCACACACGCGATTAAACCTAAATAGGTTCCTTAGTTCACTCCAATCGTTCGTCTTGTTCAGTGTTATACGTACGCGACCGATGGGAGTATACGAGAGGTTTTCCTGTCAGTGCTTTTCTTCTGACTTACCCGTTCAAGTCATTTGGGAATCTAAATGTTTCAGTTTTTATTTCAAAACAATATTCCCATCTAAATCCGTCAAGGCGCTTGATCGCCTGTTGAAACTAGGCTGTAAAATGGCCGTTGAGCGCACTCGAGTGTTATGTTTAGAAAGTGGTTTGAAATGTGATGTTTATCTCGTCAGGTTTTACACTACAGTAAAGAAGGACAAAATCGTGCAGAACAATGCCAATCTCCGCCGCTTGACTATGTCCCAAATCAACACAGTTCAATCCAAGTCAGAACAGTATGCGCCGATACATAATCACAATTCTATCATAACTAATCAGTTGTTCATCGTCTGCCGTGTCGGCTTTTCTGTGTTCTCGTCGGATACGATTTGTTGGACTGTGAACCGACCAACCTGAAGCGACGAAAAATCACTGTCAAAATCACCACAGAACGACACCTTTTCCAAACAAATTCAAAAAGTTCATCGGAAACTATTTGACGCAGTCCTATCCAAACCTCAACTGGAAGCTTTATCTTTGGGATTGGATTTCACGTGTCCTCCAAAAAACGTCTATAAAATTTTCGTCCCGGTAGAGTTTGAGTGTTTCCACGAGCAACTTGGTGACTTGCTTCCATCAAGCGAGAATAACGAAGCAATCCAAATCTGTTAGTGCTAAAACCTGACAAGGGGCATGGCACAGTCGTCATAGCAAGGAATGAATAAGTCCACGAAATGAGGGAAACCCTAGATGTTAAACCAGACTTGGCTCTGGCTAATGTTCAATTGATAGAGAAGCAGATAACACGTGAGTTCAAAATTATCATTCTACATGGTCTCATCGTTGAGGTACGAATGAAAAAAATCCTATAAGTTGTCATACACCGAATCTCTATGGGTTACCAAAGCCGCATAAGTCAGATCTCCCTTTAGGCTCATGTAATATATACGGGAACCGCCCTATCACAAATTCAGTTCAGTTTAGTTCAGTTCCAGGAAGTTGACTGCGGTGTTTTATATATTGTTTTAGACATTTTTACTATATAAATCACTGTTTTCTTTGATGTTTCATGAGTCGATTTGTACATGGTTTGTTTTAAGTTGTGACCTTGGAACATGTCGGAAACATGTACCGGATGCTACGCTTAATTCAGGGAGAGGCGTGTGTGGAGTATATGCAAGAACGCCATCAATACTCTGCGAGGTTTTCTTGCTCCTTATCCAACGTTGGGTTCAACCTGGAACATTTTAAATTATTTCTGTCCCTCCATTGGCTGCGTAGAAAGGGGACAATGTTTTCATTACATATAAGTAGTACTTTTGTTTTTACGAAAATCGCCGCGGGGTGGGTGTCGCATGGTAACGTGAGCCGCTTCAGGAGAGTTGGGTGTTAAATTCCCACTTTTGCAACACATTCCGGTCACGCCCCATGGATCAGGACAGCAGACCCTGACGCCGGTCTCGATCAAGTTAAAACTCCGGCGTAATAGGTTGATGAGTTCTAGTGGCAGAGTTAGTGACCCGGAATATTGGGCCGTCTGAGGATATGGGACGCAACAGAATGAAAAGATACTCGTGATGTATAAAGAAGAAAGTGGGAAGTGGGATTAAGTCCAAGATGGAGGGGAAGAGCAGCATGGGGAGAAGGACGTAGTGGAGATGCCTTACAATCAGGCGGTTCCTTAGGTGTAAAGGCCTTGCCATACAAAGTTCATGCGGGTCTCAAAAGCCTTCACCGAACTGGAATTGACTGCTTCATTGGGTAGTCTATTCCAGTCGTTCACCACCCTTATGGCAAGCGATTGATGCCTTATGCGGGTGGATACCCTGACCTTAGCTAACTTGAAGTCACTTACTCTTAAAGTTGGGTTCTCGCTGGTAGGTAGTAGTAGTCTCTCTTCTTCCCAAACGTGTTCTTAACCCTTTGGGAGTTTGAACATCTCAATCAGGCCTTCTTTCCTTCTTCTCCTCGCCGGGGAGAAAATTTCCATCCTCTCCAACCTATCCTCATATCTAAAGTTCCTTATTGCTGGGAAACATCTAGTGAAGTACCTCTGGGTCTTCTCGTGTACTTTTATATCCCCAACTAGATATGAGCTCCAGGCCTGAACACAGTACTCCAGATGGGGACGAAAGAAGGCTTTGTACAGTGGTAGTACAACCTCCGGTCTTCTGGAGCTTACTGCTCTCTTCAGTTGGTAGAGAGCTCCCAGTGCCTTTCTTGCCGCTTGTCGGCACTATGCACTTGGTTTGAAATTAGCCTGGACATTAATACCAAGATCCTTGGCCTCCCTCACAACGTTGAGTCCCCCCCCCCCC